TGTGTCCGGGATCGGGGTTCTCTCGGGGGCTGGGGCCGCCCCAGGGTCGGGGCTGTGCTAGGCCCGGCCTGGTTCTTTGCTGCAGTCTGTGTGAGAGCAGCAGCGTCTTGTAAGAAACGTTTTAATAACTGGGGAAGTCACCGTGCTCAGCAGAGGCGTTTGCCCATTTTAGTAACCATAGTTTAGTCCCAGATTTCGCAGAATCCCAAACTAGTTGGGTTTGGGGCCTCAGAGCCCACCCAGTGCCACCCCAGCCATGGCAGGGACACCTCCCGCTGTCCCAGGCTGCTCCAAACCTGCCCAGCCTGGCCCGGGACAGCCTCAGAGCCCACCCAGTGCCACCCCAGCCATGGCAGGGACACCACCCGCTGTCCCAGGCTGCTCCAAACCTGCCCAACCTGGCCTGGGACACTGCCAGGGGCAGCCCCAGCTGCTCTGGGGGGAACCTGATCCCGTGGTGGATCCAAGAGGATCCCAGGAGGTGCCTGGAAGGATCTGCCCCTCCTGCCCAGCATTTTGCCATCCTCTGCTGCCTGGAGTGTCTGCACTTTGTTGCTTTGGTTATGAGCAGATTTTTTTGCCCCCTCTGCCTCTCACAAACACTCCAAGCGGGGCATTAACATTTCCAAGCGCGCATTAGGAGCACTCAGGGATCTGAGTCGCTCACTGGCCACAGAGCTGCCCCTGTAGTTTGGCACAGGGTGCCTTGCCCGTGAGTGGGAGCAGGGTGGGATGTGTTCTCTGGGCTGCCCTGCTCTGTGTCCTGCAGGAGATGGGGGTGAAGGAGAGCAACAACCACAGTGAAATGATTTCCTCTGTGGAGCTTTTCTGAAATATTTATGTGGTTTGTGTATATAGCAAGAGGCCAGATTGCATCTGAATTGGAGTTTTCCTCTTTAACCTGCAGGCAAGAAGTGAGTGAAGGCATTGCAGAGTCACAAAGGGCTCAGAGACCCTCCTGCATCCCTGGGAGGGCTTGGATGGGCTTAGTTCATGTTCTGCTTCATGCAGGAGCCTCTCCCCCTTGCAGGGAATTACTTGTGTGCCTTTCCTGCACTTCTCCAAGCTGCTGCTCCCCTGTGCAGTGCAGGGGGGAAGCTCTTTGGTTGTTACAGAGCCTGAGGAGCTTCCCAGGGCTCCTTCCAGGCTGGAATTCAGCTCAGTTTCAAACACCCCTTCCCTGTTTCTCCCCCCACAGCTACAGTTGCTAAAGTGATTGACAGATTTGAGGATGAGGGCACGGATGACATTTTGCCTGTTGGCAATATCAGGAAGAGAGCCTCAGCCTCTCTCCTGGAGGCTGATCAGAGGTACAGTGGGAAAGCCACGTCTCGGAAGGCTCTGCAGGAGGAGCTCTGGGGAGGTGCTCTGTCTGAAGAAGGATCTGGTAAGAAATCTGGTTTTTTTTTTTTCCCCTCTTTTTGCTGGCAGAACATGGTGTCAGCTCGTGACTGAGCATGACAAACCTGTCACAGGGCAAGGAACAGCCACAGTTGAGCTGGACCTCAAATAGCCAGACCTGAGCTGATGCTGGTGAGCTTTTCTGCCAAGTAAATAACATTTTTCTCTCATTTATCAGGTGAAGAAGCACTGGATGACTGGTACAGTGCCAGTGAAGGCTCAGAAGAGGAGGACAATGCTGGCACTAAGGGCAGGGAGAAGCCCAGCAGTGCTGGCAGTGAGCAGGAGGAGGACCTGGAGGATGAGGAAGAGGATGATGAAGAGGCCAAGGCACCCAAGTTCAGCTCCCAGAACATCACAGACTTTGAGAAGTTTACAGAGGGCATGGATGATGTGGGGAGCAGCGGAGGGGAGGATGAAGACGAGGATGAGGATGAAGATGATGCTGACATGGAAGATGGAAACGAGGAGGAGGAAGAGGAGGAATTTGGGAGTGAAAGCCACGATGATGGAAAAGAAGCCAAAGACAGTGAAGATGATGGGGGAGTGCTGACCTTCTCCAGAGGACAGGAGTCTGAAGAGGTGGAGAAGGGCAAAGCTGTGAGGAACCAGCTAGGTTTGTGCATGTTTGTGCATGTTTGTGTGTGTTTGCAGTGTGAGAGCAGCCTGGGCCCCTCAGCATGGTGCAGCTGCAGCAGCCCCCTGTGTGTGCAGATGTTCTGCCAGATGTTCTGGTGTCCCTGCTGCTGGAACAGCTCCTGATGGGAAGTGTATTTATCCATGAGCTTAACTGAGCCAGTGCTGAATGTCCTCATGGGACTGCTGGGTTTGGGAGCTCCCTGCACTGCTCCTGCTGTGATCACTTTGATTCTTTCCAAAGTGTCACTCCCAGAATGCCATTTCTTCCTGCCTGAGATGTTAAACTGTCAAACTTTTGAAGCAGTAAAGCAAAGGGGGAGTTTGGTCTGTGGGTCACAGAGCTGCAGTTGGGATTTGCCTTGTCCAGGGACAATTTGTGGCTCCCATTTTGTGCTCCAGTGCCTGCCAGGGCTGCCCTGGGCAGGAGGAGAGGCCTGAGCTGCCAGGCCCTTCACAGGAACAAGTGCTTTGTCCTGCTGACTGATTCTTTTCCTTCCATTCTCTTTGAAGCCCTGTGGGATCAGCTGATGGAGGGGAGGATCAAGATGCAGAAGGTGCTCCTGACAGCCAACAGGCTGCCCCAGCCAGACACCTACCCCAGGTTCAGGAAGGAGGGGGGACAGGACTTTGACCACGCTGTGGAGAACTGTAAGAGCCTTTTATTCTTTCTCCTTTGCTCAGACCTTACAAACAATTCCCCATTGCTGTTCAGGGCAGAGCTGGGTGCTTTGTGCAGAGACACCCTGTGCCAGGTGTGTGCTGGGCCAGTGAATGCTGGGGTGTGCCCAGAGCAGGGGCAGGGCAGCCCAAAGGAGGGGCTGTGCACATGAATCCAGCACGGAGCTGCTCCATCTGTTCATTCCTGAGCCTGTTCTGATGAGATCTGTGGTAGATTCTCCAGTATGAAATCATCACATGCTGCAGTGGGTGGGTACAGAGTTCTGGGTTTCAGTGTGTGTGGGTCTGTTCAGTTTTTATATTTGGACACCTTTTTCCTGGCCTAGAGGTGAATGCAGGGGAGGGAGATGTGTGGGTGATCAGACATGCCCTGAGCCTTGGTCCTGCAGCAAGTTCTGCCTGAGCTCCTCTGTCAGGGCAGCCAGCTTACCTGCAGTTACAGGTGAGCTGCTTTGTGCCTCAAAGTTGGCTCTGCTGCTTGAAGTGAAGTGATTAAGGACAAAAAGGCAAACTCCCACCAAGGCTGTGCTGACCTTTCAGTGGAACACACGTTATTAATGTCCTTAATGAGATGCATTACAAGCTGCCCCAGCTCCATGTTTCATTACAGGTCTAAGATGCAATATCATTAAAGACCTTTAACAGAAACAATGGTTGACATTTTGGTATTTCCCATAAGCAAAATACAGCCAGGAGCATGGAGTGTAATGTCCCCAGTGCTGCAGAGGCTGGGGCCTCAGTTGTGCAGGGCTCTGGGGGAACCTGCACTGCTCAGAGGTGCTGGATGGTGCCCTCCTGACCTTCTCCTCATCAGCTGGGCAGGGATGTTGTTCCTCTGATGCTCCTCCTAGCTTGGGTTTGTGCTCTGTGGCTCATCTGTGAGCACAGAGCTGGAGTGACAGGGCAGTGTTAGCAGGGGAAATCTCAGGCTGACAGATGGGAAATGCTGAATTTAGGAACATTCCACCACTGCTGCTGCTGCACTTCAGCCTTGGGCAGGACTGGGGCTCATCATGGCCTGGATGATGCTCTCCTTTCAGGGCAGCCTCAGCACTTCTGCCCAAACTCACAGAATAAATCTGACATATTTTCATCACCCTCATTGAGCAGGAGGGAATGATTTGGTGTTCCAGGTGCACAAAAGATTGGATGCCAAAATCCCAGACTCTGGGTGACCCTGCAGGATGCTGAAGTCAGGAGGCTCCCAGTGCTCTCAGAGCTCCTGGACAAGAGTGTTTCCAGTCATTTTCCCCAAATCTTTCCATTTCTCATGAAATTTCTGCGCTGTGCTCAAAGGCAGATTGAATCTTTTGAATTGGAAAATGGTCCTTTGTGTGTTTTCCTCTTGGGTATCTCCTACTCAGGACAGCCCTGTTGTGGTGCTGGAATTCCCTAAGGGCTGGAGTGTAATTGTGTTAAAGAGCAGACAGCAATTCTCCATCCATTTGCAGTTTTAAAGCCAAACCTGGGTGAAAATGGCAAGGTCATGCTCATTTTCCAGATTTTGAGACCGGAGGTTACAATACCTAAAATGTTTAATTTATTATTTTTGTAATCTTTTATGATTTTTTTTCCCTTTGAATGTTACAACATGCTTTGGACAACCTTAGATTCCTGAGATCTCAGGTTCTGGTAGATGATTTACTGCAAAATTGCTTATAAATTGAAGTAGAAAATGTTTTGCAGACCTGGCAGCTTTCAGGCTTCACACCCATTTGTCACCCAGCATTTCCCTTTGTGTATAGAACAAGAATTAATTAGGCTGCACTGCAGGAAAAGTTTATGGCCATAATTTATATAGGATGAATTTCTCTTTAAAGAGACAGCATTGCTTTGTTTGTGCTGTCTTACTTTTTATTTCCTTTTTTAAAAATCTTTAATTAAATCCCAGATTTTTTTTTTCTGTCACCCTTTTTACATACAAATGGGAGACCAAGCTGTGGGCATGGAGCTCATGGTTATTCCTGCTTTGCACCCAAGTCTGGGTGGTTTTTAGTGCTGAGATCAGAGTGGCTGAGCCCTGAAAGCAGCACAAGTGTCCAGTGTTCAATGTCCTGCACACAGAAACCCTCCAGCTCACAATTCCAAGGTGCTGGGCTGCTCCTCAGGACAGATTTGTATTCCCTGCTCTGCATCTCCCACTCTGGTCCAGGGCTTGAGATGTTGCCTCTGTTTGGGGTCTTGCACGTTCAATTAATGTTTTTCATAATCAATGCGAGTCAGAATTTGCAATCTGCTCCTGATTTGCACATTAAAGAGACCCATTAATTAAAAATTCCAATCCCTGGCATGTTCCCGCAGGATCCCTGCGTTATTTACATAGGAAAGGAGTGCAAGGTGAGAGTTTCTGTGCACAGATTGCAGGCCTGCCACTCATATTTCACTGTGCTGCCAGCCTGGCAGGGCAGCTCCTGAAATTGGCCACAAAATCCCCTCAAGGGCAAGGCAGAGCCAAAGCAGAGGTGGGATAAACATTGGTGGGGTGTCAGGAATTAAACAGTTCCAGTGTTTGGGGCTTGTTGTGTTAAATCTTGATAGGGTGACAAAATAACCCACAAATAATTGAGGGACAAGGAGGTAACAAGGGCTTTAAGGAATTAAATCTCTCCATCCTCAAAGGGCCTGAGCTTCTCAGTACAGACCTGGGGCTTTTGCTTTCTAATTCTGCTTAAAAACACTAAACTGGGAGCACTTCAGTGGTTAATACTGTATGCTTTTCAAAAAGAGCTGGGAATTGCAGCTCTTAGATGGCACATTGTGTTATTTTCACTTTATAGTTGGTGAGATGAGTTAAGAGTGTACAGATACCAAGGTGAGGAAGTTTTTTGCCAGAAACTGATGGAAGTTGCCGGATTTTAAAGGGACAAGTGGCTGTGCTTTCCTTTTGCAAGAGTTCAGGAGTTCTCACTGCATTTTTGTGGGGTTTTGGGGTTTTTTTGGCTCTGTCTCCATCTGTCAGTGGATTGAGAGAAAATACCAGAATCTCACATTTCTATTCCTCAGCATAAGCTGCAGATAATTTCAATAAATGGAGGAGATAGTGGGTTTGGTAAAAGTAGATATGCAGGGTGTGTGGGGATGGATTTGCTCAGTGCAGGACCCAACAGCAAATATTAACTTATTTACACTTTGGAGAGCTGTGGTGAAGTTTCACCAAGGTTTGTGATCAGTAATAAACCTGAATAAAGTGAATCATATTTAAAAAAAAAAAAAACTAAAAAAAGCCCCTCAGGGCTTTGTTGCCTTCTGGAAAATGAAGTTATTGGATTTTTGTTGCTAAAACTTTGAGGGACCCAGAAATGGCTGTTTCTGGGGTGGAAATTTGTGGTGAGTGGGAAAGAGCTGTGCTCCCATCTGGAATAATTCCTGAGCTGGGCCCTGGCACAGCAGCTTGGGTTCTTGTCCCATGACAGATTCTGTGGTTTGGGACCAAACAGCACATTTAGACCTTTATGTCTAAATGCTTCATCCTGAGTATCTTCATTTTCTTCTGCGTTGGCTCTGCGATATTTTGAATTTAAGAGACAAGGAAAGCTTCTGTTTCTCTCAGTTAGTGTACGAGTGTGTTCTCAGTGTCTTTTTAATGAGGATTTTTGTTGGGCTCTCTTAATCCCAGTCTTTAAAATATTATCTTTACATCCTCCACCACATCCAGGTAAGCCATGTTGAGGACACTGATTAAGCAGGGACTAATTTTGGATAAATGCAGTGTGCTGCAGGTGCCAGGGAAGCTGTTCCTTCCTGGCAGAGGGGATGTGCTGCAAGGCCTCCCCTCTCCCCTCACCTGGGCACACCTGGGTGGGAACAGCTCTGTGGTGGGATGGGATTCACTGACACAGGCTTGGAATCTTTTAGGGAATCCTGCAAGACTCAGCAGCAAAACTCCCTGGTAATTCTGCTCTCCCCTCCATTCCTGGGTGGCTCTTCGAGCTCCAGTGTATCCACACCTCCATCTGGAGATGTTAATGCATTAATGCAGAGCAGGGTGAGTGTCAGGGAGGGGGAGGAACTGAGGCACGGGCAGATTACACAGTTTCCAGAGGCATAGAGCACTTACAGGATTAATTGGTGCTAGGCAAGATCATGGACTTAAATATATTCTTGCTTTGAAGATTTTACTGGGAGCCTGCACAAATGTGTGACAGCAGAACTGGGTTTCAAGCCTGAGTGTAAATTATTGTGATCAGATCTAGCCCACTTAAAACTGGTAGTTCATTTTAATTGAATTGTGTTAGTCTGGACACTTTATGAATACAAAAAGCATCAGCCCTGTCAGTTCCTGCAGGACTGGATGGGATGGAAATGGATGTGGGTGCAGGTGTCCCCAAATTCCAGCTCTCCTCTCTGATCTCATGGAGAATCTGTTCAGCTCTTTCTGGGGCTGAGCCAAAGCCTGTTGACATTAATGAATGCTCTTCTCTCAGCTGAAGGAAATGAAGGAATCAGATCCTTTTTTCTGAATTTTGTGGAATATGCCCCAGAGAGCTTTTTGGTGGGCTCAATGAGGATGAGCAGCTCCTGGGCCATTCTGGGAGTGCTGAGAGAGGGAAGAGCCATGGATGGAGAGGGCTCAGCTTTGGAGCTCTGCACTTGTTCTGTGAGTGTTGAGTCATGAACTCAGTGATGTTTTGGGCACGTGCAGAATTTGGGCTGTGAGAGGTACCAGGAAGGTATTTTCTGGTTTGTCATTACTGTCTGTGGTTTGTTCAGGAATTCTGTGTGGGAAGCAGTGGAGAAATGCAGGATATTTATTTAACATGCAGTTTTGGGCTGTTTGAAGATAAAAAAACTCTTGTCCTCTCCCACAGAGTGCCAAGGCTTTTGGCTTGTGCTATTCAGTATTTTTGAGCAGAATTGGTGTCTCCTTCTCATGAATGGTTGTGGTAAATTGATTTTGTAGGTGATCTCCACAGCCATGTGTGTTGTTCATTGGTGATGTCTGAGGTTTATTTGAAATCTGCCTTAAATTT